GGCGCTCTACGTTCAGGAGTCAAGCCTCAAGCCAAGAAAGGTGGATATTTTGATCTTCTTGGCCAAAATAAATCAGACCTGAATCTCAATGTATAAAAAATTGCAATTTAAATTGCAGTCGCAATATTAGTTAATCACAATTACATGTTGTCCCCAAATCATTCAGCCCTAGCTTAATATCACTGTAACAAATGGCCTCTCATGGCTTAATGCTTTATAGAGAAGCACGTAATCCTGTTGCCAAGTACAGGCAAAATAATCATATATTCTTTTATACAGTATTTGTAGTCCTAAATGTAATATACAGATGGGAAACATACACAGATACTGTACAGTGCGCAGACAGACAGAGAAGAATTTCAAACAATTTACCACCTTGTTTTAACGTTGCATGTTTATCCAGCACTAATTACATTTGTGCAGCGTGGCTGCCAGAATGTCTATTGAGGCAGAAATCTGGGGCATCTTCTCATCAATATTTCAGCACATGAGAGACAGATATGAGGCCATCCAGCAACAGCCTTTGGCTTTATGAAGTGGGCCTGTGGTGTCAGTCAAGTAGAGCACAAGTTAATTAAACATCACCTCCTCGTGCCATCTATTAACTCCAGGATAATGAGTCCATTCTCTTTCTCTCCTCTGCTTTATGCCGATTGATAAGAGGGCTCATTATTAAAGCCCCCTCGTAGTTGCCGAAAATGTAATGCTCAGGTTCTGATGCACTTTTAAGTGTCACGTCATGGGAGTGCAATTCATTTTGCTCTGTCCAACAATTCAGCGAATTGAGAATATACATTATATCTTTATATTATATGGTGTAGCAAGTATATTGTACTCCAGGGTAAAGCTGATTGAAAATGATTAAATGATAGGTTTCTTTTTGCAGAAGCAGAATTTGGTGTTTTTAAAGCATCCAAATTTGAACCTAACTCACTGAGACTGGATGAAGCACCTGTGAAAACTGAGCTTTTTCTTCCACTAAGTTCCTGTCACAAGGTCTTCTTCTACATGGCCACATTGTTACAGCGAAATACATTCCTTTGATGTGCAATTGGATTTCCAGAGGGCTGAGTCATCTCCCATTACTCCTTCCGGTTTCATTCACGCACCCATTTGCAATCCACTTGCAATGGAACATTGACTCAAACTGCTATTGATCAATCAAGAGTCAATAAAATCACTCAGCAGAGCCAGGCCTGGAAGGAAAAAAAAGACACTAGGGCTGTAAGAGGCATAGAGGAGGGGACGAGAGTTATTTGATGGTCTACCACTTTTGGAGATTGCCTTCTCACAGATATGTGGACGACGCTAGATTTCAGGCCAGTACTTTCAGTAGCTAATGAAGTGAATGACATTGTCTCGTATCCCCTGTCACTTTGGATTTAGAGTACATACAGCTACAGCGCAGCAGACTGTGACCAGACCAGCCATGTTGGGAGTCATCAAATCTTGACAGTGCTGGAGCTGGAACCCCATGCTGAGCCAAAGCTTAGAGTAGCTCAGTCTTTTAAAGTCAGTGGCCTTTAGTTTTACTAAAGTAAAAGCAGCACAGTTGGCCAATGTATCTTGAATAGTTTTCTGTGTTCAATCTTCAAACCGTAGCAGGTAGAATGTGCCAGATAGTCTATTCATGAGAGAAGTTTTTAATTAATTAAAAGATGACCTGCTTCTTGGTTTCCCACAGAAAGCAACTGTTAATGGTAGGAAGTGTTTCCATCAAGTAAAGCTGACATTCATGTTACCAAGAATCTAATCTGCAAGTGGAAATGGACAAGCCCCCTTAAGATCCAAAGTATTGCGATTCTCTGAGCTAGGAATAATTTGCATGATTTCTGTAAATGCAGACTCTATTGTATGAATTAATTTAAGACAGCATGTACTTGACTTGATGAGTGGACCCCAGGAATAGAGATGCCACTTTTTCTTTTCCAATACTGATACTGATATTGAAATTTTCAGCTAATACTGATACAAATTCAAATTTTTCTTTAAAAAAACATTAGTATGTAAAATGAGCTATTTTTAAATGCTGGTTAAGGACAGAATTGTTACAGGATTGGATCAGACTCTTTTCAGATTCTTTTTTACCCTTCAAAATCCAGTCCAGCATTTTCAGAACCATAAAGCATAAAGTTCTCTTCCTTTCCCCTCAGTAATGGCCAGAATTCCTAGACTGATCAGTTGTTTACAGACTGAGACCCACTGATTAAACAAGTAGAGCCAGTTGTGCTCCTCTTTGGTTGGAATGAAAACCTGCAGCACACTGGCTCTTTGTGAATAAGGTAAGAGGACACCTGTGCTTAAAAAATGATGTTATTAACATTTGTTTCAGCAAAGGCTTATTATTAGTCAATTCTTAGAAACTGTTTCTATTATGTGTTATAAGTGTTATAATTGTTTAAAGATGGTTATAAGAGATTGTGTGATAAACACTGGTATCTCAGACTTGCATTTTACAAAAAAACATGTAATTAAATTTAGTTGTCCATGTTAGTAGCATTGGGGTGCTATAAAATTAGTAACTTGATCACAGAGCATATCCCTGAATCTAGTGTATCTACTATGAAGAAAATTCTAAGCTATAAAAATGGCAACACTGACATTGTTGACAGTCTCTCTCTAACTTCTCCAACGCCGGCTGATAAAAGGCAGTGCAAACACTGCGCCGAAAACTGTCCATAAACCTGCAAACCTCACCTTGACATTCCCAGCAGGTCACATACTGACAGCCATTAAACATTAAGGTTTTCTGGCTTTGAACACAAGCTCTGTATGTGTCACCTCTCAGCAGAGGTCGTTCTCTAGAAACGAGAGCTCCCGTGTTCGCCTCGAAGGCTGTCAAAACCTCTGAGATGTATTACTCACAGCTCTGACCTGGTCAGCGTAGTTTATTCAGTGGACCCTCTTAGGGCAATTCTGCGTGTTTTATATTACAATAGCAGTGATGATCAAAAAATGCAGGAAAATAACAGAGGTTATTTAGGTCAATATGCCTATTTTTGCTTGCCTTTGTAAGAGAGTAATCAAAACAATTTTGTGTGCTTTCAGTATTTAAAAGGGCTTTAGAATGCATAGAAAACCAAAAAAACAGTGTAAATAGAGGGAACATTCTGGAGACTTTCCAAACGTCACAAAATGGCTCCTTGTACCATTTGCCATTTATTTGGTCACTGTGTTACATAATTGCAACTGAGACATCTTGAAGCACTGACACTGACTGTTTTAGCTGCCAGAACAGGAGACCAGAATTTTCCATTGCAGTGGCAAATATTATACAGGCTGATTCAAAAAGTGCCATATTTTTACAACCGTGAAGTGCCTAGGAACCAATCACATACCAATTGAAAGAGGGGGTCATAGACTTTCTGACTGTCAGTGGAAGATGGCTCCCTTCAGTCTGAGAGGAGATGCGACCCCTGAACAGAAAGCGTTCTGTGTTCTCCACTTCAATAAGAGTGAATCCGTCATAACTGTGCAACGTGATTTTCGTGGGCAGTGAAGCTCCAACAGCTCAGAGCGTTCGTTGTTGGTTCCACAACACTGGATGATCTCCGAAATCGCACTGAAAGAGCCGTGAGTGCGGCGACACCCGACATGCTCAATCGAGTATGGGATGAATTTGACTATGGCGTTGATGTTGTCCGTACAGCTGGAGGAGGTTCATATTGAACACTTGTAAAGTTGCAGAATAAACTTTATGCAACACTTAAACCATTTACAGTTCACTGCATTGTTCTGTAATGATTTACAAGTGAAATAAATCATTTTGAAATCAGATGAATATTTTTGCATCACCCTGTATAAACTAGAAAATACTGAAGCGAATGACGGTGGATGAACTGGGTCACAGGCATGTTTCTGTATTGCATCCCCCTGGAAAAAGGCCTAATTGCAGGGGCTCTCAGACTTTCTATTAGAACTTCACAAAGATGTAAATCCTTGGTATTTTTGTTACCAAAATACCACTGAGAATGCCACCTCATGGAGTAACAGCAGGATGAATTCGAAAGCACAGATCCAACCAAATGGCCCCAAACTCAGTGGATGGCATGAATTGATATGAGACGGCAAGAGCAAGGTTTATCATGATCATGCGCTATAAAGAAGTGAATCATTCACATACAGGAAACCCTTATGATGTTTATGCTCTGTAACAAATAAGGATCATAAAGCAAAGATCAAAGCCACCTAAGTGTGCCCCAGGGTTTCCTCTCGCAATTTACTAGCACAAATCATAACCAATTCTTTCAGTGCACAGTGGAACTACATGAATTACCAGGATGTCATTTTAGAGCAGAGTAGTACATGTATTCTCTTAGAAAAGGCTTCACAACAAAGACAGAGTACAGAGTGTTTCACTTGTCTGAGCCCAGGTTGGAATAGGGGACCACACTGCAGGGCTCATAGCTCAGAATTCCAGGCAATATCGTATCACCTGGATCCAGAGAACCACCGCTGAGGAGCCAGCCATCCTTCTAGAGGGATTTTGGCCTTTTGTTCTAACGACATCACAGCCACATGAAGAGTGATTGAAAAACAAGGCAGGGGTTTGAAAATGGATTCAGTGCCCAACTAACTGATCGTTACACAACTCTTATTTAGACCATGCATGATAGATCAAGGTTTTGCTAGAATTACAACCTTCAGCCCTCACTTGGAACCACAACCTTACCAAAGGTGCTGAATCGATTGAATGAATCTGACACAGCTCAGCAAGGACAGACTCGTTTCATCCTTCAAACAAAATTCATCCATTAATATCTGCTGTTCTTTTGAAGTACCTGGCTTGTCGCGAAGGTTCAGCAGGACTTTCTGGTGACAGACAAGTCATAGTAAAAATTGCAACCAACCAGATACCACTGTATTCATTTCAGCTGTAAAATTTTAAAGTATCCAGATGTTCTTGTGGTGCTCGAAGTGTCCCCCTCCACTGTTCCCTCAAGGGTGTTTGCTGTAATACTAATGCTGTCTGTCATTCTGTCTTGCTTCTTTTTGTGCAGGCCCCAGTGAGCTTGATCTGAGTCTGCTAGCAGACAGCACCAGCTTGGCAGAGGTGCCCTCCAAATTCGACGAGCAGGTATGCTAACCAGTATCTTTACCAATTTGTGGGCCTATTTTGTGTATAGAATTGTGTCACACTTTCTCATTACCTCCTTGTTGCATGTTAATGGCAACTCTTTCTCTTGCGGCATAGGAAGCTCCTATGGTATCTCTTGCAGGCGTTATTATAATGGCACATTAGTGTTTAGGCTTTCATTAGGCTATGACACAGAGCTCTGGTCTTCCCTTTTCCTTCATTAATCTCAAAGTGATTGAAAGATATTAAAACGAAACCTTAAATTGGCTCAGAATGAGGCTCAATGAATTGGCATTTGGAAAGCTAGATGAGTCAGCGAGGGTGGGAGTGTGCCTCTTTAACGGGAATGAGCCGGTGAGCGGTGGCCCTGCATTAGCAGATGGACGTTTCTCCAACATGCCATTTTAACTAATGTCAGCTATAATCTTTAATTTGTTCATGACTGTCCTTATGTTTAATTATCACTGTCACAAATTGGGTAATGAATGATTGATCTCCTTCAGCCTTCATTGGGGTGATGTAACCAAACTCAGCATTATATCACTTTAACAAAGTGCATATTGCATAACCTTCTGCGTGTGTATGCTGTGTGAGAGCCTTCTAAAGAAAGCCTAGGTTCAGTCCGTCTAATATAGAGATGTCTAGTAGTATTGAGTCAAGGTGACAAGTCCAATATATTAAAAAATAATTTATAAAATCCAATATATTATGCCATCATTCATCTTGATGTACTACACCTTCAGTGACCTGGATGGTAGAAAAACTTCTCAGAAGTATTTTCACCTTAAGAAACTTTCCCCATGGTGTGATGCTGCAAAATATGATATAAAAGGTAGCAGAAATCCCTCACTGTGATTTATAGTCAAGTTCTATGATTTGTTGTAGTAGATGCTGTTTAGAGGTGTCTTTCGCTAAGAAGAATGTTTGGCACACCTTTCATGTAAGGTATTTTTCCACCTCTTTCACACCTCTCGAGGTCAGGAGAATGTGCTTCAGTGAAAAACTGAGGTGTGACGTCCACTGTGAGTGCTGCAGTCGTGTCAGAATGTAACTAAGGAGCAGGAGCCTCTGGGCGAACCTGTTCATTCAGTTGTCGTCCTCTTTTCAGAGAGGACATCTAGGTTTTATATACACTTATACCATTTGGGGTTTTATGTACCAAAAAATCATTATATTTCATTTTAACATAATTTTCCAATTTCTCTTTATCCTTTAGTGTTAAACAGGTTGTTTTTGTTGATCTTAGTAAATGATCTCTGTTCTGATTGGCTGACCTGTATTGTCCAAAATGCAGTCTGGGCCAAAACACTCGTTATATATTTGGCGTGAATGGGTGGGGCATATAGGTGAATATATGTAAATGTGTTATTATTTGCAACATCACAAAAACAACATCTTAGTATTTCAGTACATAGACTGTAATGAGGGGGAAGGCAAGGAATGTGTTAGGTATAAATATGTGTTAGATTTATATATATATATATATATATATATATATATATTGCTGCTGTTAAAACAAAACCCCGTATCTCGATTTTTTTTTAGTATTTGAGATTGAAAATGCATGTTGCCCTTTACATTGTGTATACATTTCATGGTGAATAGACCAACAGAAACAACCCAAAATGGCTTGGAAAATGTCTGGTTACATTGACCTACATTAAAAGTGAAGTATGTTTTATTCTTCTCCTGCAAAGTTATCATTTTGGAGATGCAAGGTTTTGTTATATATATATATATATATATATATATATATATTTATATATAGATAGATAGATAGATATAGATATATATGTGTGTGTGTGTGTGTGTGTGTGTGTAAAATTTTAGCTAGCATCTTAATAAGAATCATTATGTTAGCCTCAAGCTAACAGAAGTTTATATTCACTTCTCCACTCTTGGTTTAACAGTCCTTATGGCGGCTTTACATAAATGAGGACATTTGAAGTTGGTAAGACATTCATGTAACATATTCTTTATTTTTATTTTTCAATTATTGAATTAATCCTTCAGAAAACTGAATATTACTGAAGGAGCCTGTTAGCTATCTGAGCTTTCTGCTAAGCTGGTCAGTTGAGTGCCAGTTAAACTAAACCAAATTCTTACATAGTGTGTGTTCGGTTTTGGTATGATTTCAGGCACTTTTCTTGATATACATTCAGGTTGTGTCTGCAAACGTAAGTGCCATGTCTGCAGTTGTAGGGTTATAGGTTGCACACTGTCCAAATCCTACTTAAATTCAGAAGATATTCCATTGTTTTCATTCCCGACTGCACATGTCTGTTTCAGAGACACAGAGTAAGTTATATGAACACGTGATGTTGGTAACAGTATGTATAGTTTGTATATATATATATATTCAGATTCCATCTCTATGAACCTATGCACCAAATAGCCTAGATTGCATTATATTAGTCAAAAAATAATACTTGCAGATATTACTATGCAGATATTTACAAATGTCTTGCCAGAGCCCACAAATTTGGCATTGTGTCAGGAAAACACAGTACAGCTCATTAGCATTTTGGTTATATCTGTTCTTTGTGAATATGTAAATACATTTCACCCATAGATAAGTATTCACTTCACAGTGCACAGAGGGAGTACTGAGGGTGTAGCCAAGTGGCTTCATTTTTTCCTGTGTATTTAGTGATGTTATAAGCAGTCTAGTTCTGTATATACATGTCTATAACATGTTTTTATTTCACAAGAGCAAAGAAAATTCTGTCTTCTATTTAATCGTCTGGAGCTTTGGTAACAATAAAACATCATTTGGCTATGCCGGTGTTAGATGGTATTTTTGCATGCATTTGAATCCTGGCAAAAGTAATCCATATCTAATAGCTCATAGAGCTATGATTCATACATATCAAATACCAACAGATAATATTCAGCAGTGCCTAGGACTAGGTAATCATGGTTATGAAAGCTCAGACACAGCTGTACGGAAAAAAAGTGTTAATCAGATGACCTTTTGTTCCTACTAACGCTTTTTTCGTACCTCCTGTTTTGTCTCTCTCTCTCTCACCCTCTTCCTGTCTCTCTTCTCTCCCACTTATATTTTTCTCAAGCGTTCTGAGGGGTCCTTGTTTTAATCCTCACATATTAGGTCGCGTTACATAAGACCAGTAAGCAAATTATCGCTCCGCCGCCGTCTGCGCACTCTGAGACTGAAAGTGAATGGCTGCATCTCCGATGCTGCTCACGTCCTGCCTTTGGAGAGATGACTTTGCTTTCCCAAACAAGTCTTGTTTATTCATGCTGTTGACGGAAGTGAGCAGTGTTTGTTCGTGGTGGGTGAGGACGCCGAGTTGAGGTTGCGAGCATCTCGAAAGTGGTGTGAACAGGTTGTGGGCAGCACCCAGGCTGGCCACCATGGATTCTTTCTCTCTGTGCCACCCCAGGAACCCACTCACACACCGAGAACTGGATCATGTGTACTTGTCAGCAGGAGAGCAGTACTTTTGGAAAAACTTCCATTATCCACAACAGATCTCGGAGCAGTTTTCAGCTCAGCATGAGGCTTCTTTCAGAGCAGTTGTTGGTGTTCATCGTCCATTTATTGTTGTGTGCAGGCATTCAGGTCAGGCTGCCCATCTGCAGTAGACCAATGCATGTTCCAACCAATGAGTGTATATATCATACATATCATATGCAATTACACTCAAGTCAAAAGCACTCTGGTACTAAACTGTCACTGGGGCAGTGCCCCTCTTGTCACTGGGGTGGTAACTCAAGGGCACATCTCAGTGCCTTTAGTCAGGGAACATAACTGTACCATAATCCACTGAAATGATATTTTCTAAGTTGTGACTCCACACACCCCGTCTCGTCTCCAGGCTTTTTATTTTACTGCTCTGTTTTAAAACATTCGGTTATGAAAAGGTACAAATACGAACTTTTCACCTGGAAAAACTTATTTAAGGTTCACAATCAGACCTTAACACCACTGTTGTACCTTTGAGGGAACATTTACATTGTTTGTGCCTTGATGAACGAAAGATGTATCTGCACAGAACCTTTATTTCTAACAGTGTAGGTTTGGTGATTGTAAAATAAGTGAACAAATCCCTACAGGAAACAAACTTACATGTGGTATGTTTATGAAAATATTAGTGCACAGTTTATTTTATTTATTTGACTGAGATGTGAAATGTGCATAAGTTTTGCACAGATTTATTATTTTTTTCAATGTTTCCAATGTTAAATTTAGCAAATAAACTTGTAATTGTGCCCCTTCTCTTCTCTGTAGAGGATATATTAACTGATTTTCTTGTAGAAAAATCTGACCAGGGGCGGCCAAAATTTGCATACAACTACATCATATATTCAGTCAATTGTTCCAAGCCCTCCATGAGTGTAGCCTCTTGCTCTCACTGTTATTCATACAGTTCAAGGATTCTTGTTACAGTAGCTCTCAATGGGAATTGGAGCTTTCCACGTTGCTGTTGCTTTAGTTTATTGCTCATATACTTTTTCGTGCTTCTCCCACAAGCACAACATAGTCTGCCACAGGCATCCTGAAGTGCTAACTTTACTGATATTACATATTTTGCTGTTAAATGATACTTAAGACTCAGTGATACTCACAGCAAGGCAGTAGCTAGAAATGACTGGTTTTATCAAAAGAGCCATCAATGGAACTTCATTTAAAGGCTATATTTGTTAAATATATATTTATATAAGAGTTGCCGAGTCAATCATATCAAGTTACAGTGCACAAGCAGCTGGGCTTCAGCCTGGAACTACAGTTGATTCCCAGGATCAAAATAGGGAAATGCATTTGTAGTGTTAAAAATTAGTGGTGCATTATAAACACATTAACTTTGACACCCCTACCAACAATACTTACTAATAATGCAGGTACATGTAATAGTACACCTAATAATACGCTGAAAGCAAAAATGACTTATTTGTCTGCAGATATGTTAAAGAAAAAAGAACTGCCTGTACAAATGTTCGAACCTTTGTGCTCTGGAAGTGCCAACAAAACAAAGATA